CCCCCCCCCCCCTCCCCACCTCCCAGTCGTTTTCTCGGTGTACAACTTATCTCGCCCCCCACTAACCGCCGCGCTCTACTATCTGAACGCCTGGAACAGGCTACATTTCTATTGTCGATTCTCCTCCACCACCACCACATTTGTTTTTCGTTTGTCCCAGGCCATCACTTATGAGCTTCCCTTTCTTCTGAACACTTTTATATGACAGAAGCTTCAGCTGGTACACCAAAAGAATGACTACAAGTGTTTTATTTCAACAATGCTAGTACTTACAAATAAAAATAGAAGGTGCCACAGTTGACTTTATTTTACTGCTCAGTAGTCAAATGCCGGAATGGTGAGGTTTTTTCAAGATCGTACATCCGATCCTGATATTTTTGAATACGGAGTTTTCTTTTTCTCCGTTTTAGCCTTCCGTCCACACATATATTTGTTTTTGCGCTAACTTTTGGTTACGAGTACTATTTAGCTAACACGAGTAAAAAATCGAGTTTTTCGATAATTCCCACATAAAGGTGCTTTCACTCGACTGGCATTTGACTCCCGACTTCCGTCGGAAATAGTCGATTTAAATCGTATTCTAGTCACGTCAATATATGTCGTGATGGTCATTAATATCTCTTAAGATATTTCTCAGAATAAACCCCTTAACCTCATTCTATCATCTAATCATGCTAATGAGTCAGCGTTAGCATAGTACGTTGTTGAGATATCTCGCACGGCACCAACTCCACATTGCGGAGACAATCGATTAAGGTACTGTATGCATGTGTATAGGTGTATGATAAATGAGGTAAATGAGGTCGCAGTCCATGTAATATCTATAGGGTGAATATCAGGAACTGAATAAGTCTTGAATAGTGACGTTTATCGGCCTCGATAACAGTTAACCGGCGGCTCAAGGTGAGTGTCACGTTCCAAGTTTGAATCAGTTTAACAAAAACTCAGAATCCTTGCGGCTGTAACTGCTAGTATTCGATGTCGTCTCTTGATTTCGTCGTTTAGGGATCGAACATGTTCAAACAGTTTTCTTTCTGATGTCGTGTTTATTTAATACTGGAAGACAAACCGTGGCCTTGGGTCAATGATTACGCTAACAACTGACGCTCTAGCTACAATAACGAAGACCTGAATAAATTCATTAAATCAACTGTAGTAGAGCATATTAGCCACTGTCAGTGTATGATTCAAACTAACCCCTGTATCTCCAATAATCTTTGCGGACAAAAAAGCTTACATTGCACTTTTACGGTATACTAGGAAGGCTATAATACATAACAACATTAATGGCGATTTTTCGCTCACTACTCATTTCTACCAATCAAACTTATTTGACGTTCGATGCAAAATTTTTTAAAAACCACTGAGCGTTTTTAAAGCATCCGTGATTTTACAAATATATGCGAATACGTAACGTAAATTCAGTGGAAAATGTTCACTTTAATTTACGCTTGTGTAAGCATAATCTTATGCAAAAGACAACTTTATTACAACAGTCTACATTACCATATGTTGTCAATGTTGCCTACGATCGATAACACACCTGGCCAGCAAAACCCTGGTTCTAAAGGTCCGTTATCGAAAATACCTAGCCGGGAAGGATGAAATAAACCGTTCTCACGGCTTAGGAAAGGGTGTAAAGTAATTTACATACCACAGATGACAAAAAACACATCTGGCCGGCACCAAAAATAATCCGGCAAAGATTAATATTGAGGTATTTCCGCATTGAAATCACTGCCGGACGGAAAGTGACAGGATCCATCCAGAAATCTAGTATAGACCCACCTCCATATAGGAGCCTTGAGGAGGTAAAAGTGGAAGTTGGAATCAAAATTGATGCAAAAATACAATAGAATCTGAAAAAGAAGAAGGGAGAAGTAAGATGTGTATCATCCCTACCTCCACCCCAACCTCCATCCCCCTCTTACGCTTGGGATCCTTCTTGTTTACAATTATTGAATCTGTGAGTCCAGCAATAAAAATTGAATAAATTTGTTTCTGTCTCTATATTCCAAAGGCGAACAATAGCTAGGTGCAGCAGATGAAAGACTATGAAAAGAAGACGACTGCCTGGTGGTACGGAAAACTGTGGCCCACGCGAGATCGATTATGCTAAACTACCTGCCCGGTGTCTGCTGAAAACAAGGGATCTGCCAGGACCAAAAGACGCGAAGCTTTGGAATGAAGTGCTACTAACTGTACTTCCAGTTGATGTTTTGCTACTGACAGTGGAGGATTTGGAATTCTTGAGTTGCGTTTCTCATCTAAATCCGGGATACTTTCGGAGTAGTCATGGCAACCTTGGAACGGTATACTTTGGGCAGATGGGTACCGGCCCAACCTTCTTGAACATCGCTGTGATGAAATGTCATTCAGGCCCTTTGACTCCGGGAGGTGCCTTAATAACTGTGAAAAATGGTGTTGAAGTGTTAAGACCCAAAGCAGTATTCTGTGTGGGATTCTGCGGTGGATTAGGGCAAGAAGTCAGCTTAGGAGATATCGCAATTTCAGCAAAGCTAAGAACATACGATTCTGTGAAAGTAACGGACAGTGGAATTCAAGAGCGTGGCATTGCTGTTCCGTTGGAGGCGAATCTTTTGAAACTCATTAAACATGCTAATGATGGCTGGAAGGCGCCGCTAAAAGATTCCGCGGTGGTGAAAGTGTGGAAAGATGGCGTGTATTTGAGCGGACCCGAGAAGGTGGAAAGTAAAGAGAGACGCGAGGAACTCGTGAAACGATTCCCGGATGCGATTGCTATAGAAAAGGAAGGGCAAGGTGAGAGTCTGGTAAAAGTTTAGCAGCGGTACTGTTCAGTTTTCCTAGAAAACTCTCCTTCGGGAAAAGAGAAGAGTTAACCCTTAGTACCCCTCTGAATTATGTGTGGATTCCTGATCCACCCGGTTCAGACTGTCCCCGGTTCATTACTCCTGATAATGTTCCAAGGCAATAAATAGACCGAGTATTTGGCCTTCCTTTGAGGTTAGGGGGGAGGGAATTTTAAAGTACGGAGAGGGGAGGGAAAATAGAGGGTGAACTGTCTCCTTACTTTCCTTTCCCCTCCCCCATAAACGCCTGATACCCAAACAAGGGCAAAATAGGCAATTTTGAGGCCTGAAATAGGAACCCACTGCTCCCTTGGCAAACAGTTCTTCAACTTTGATCTGGAATGACATTTCCTGCTCTACAGAATATGCAAAGAGACAAAGAGGTAGTTTTTTGATTGCCTCAAACCAATATTCAAATTTAGGCTAAAGGTTAGTGCGACATACCCGCAAGTCTCCAACAAACTTAGACCAAAAAAGCTAGAAGAAGAAACTTTTAAGCTGAGAAAAATAACAGCTGTTACCCGGGTACTTATGAACCGGGTTTAGTGTTTTTTTTGGTTTTTTTTGTTTGTTTTTTTTTACGGGAAAATGCGGGCAATCAAAATCATAACTGGAAAACGATCTGCTGCATCGGCCTGTTTACGTATTAACTGGTCTTATCTACAATGTCTATTATAGGCCTGTTCTTAGCCGCACACGACTTGAAGGTCGAATGGATTGTTATCAAAGGAGTCTCTAACTTTGCTGATGGCAGGGAAACTGAGTCTTGGAGAAAATTTGCGAGCGTAATGGCAGCTTCACTGACTGCACACATTCTAAGTAATCCAATTGTTTTTGAAAACTGGCCTCATTATAAAGGTGAGTATGCAGTAGCCTAGTCCCCAGTCCAGTTCGCGCTGTCGGAGTGAGCGGAGAGGGCTTGGAGAAAAGAAGGAGAAGAAAGAGGTAAAAAAAAAAGCAGCAAATGGGGAAAACGGAAGCAATTTTGGTTAAAGCTCTCGGCAAAACAAGGCCTTAGAAACACTCGTGACAGGTGCCTAAGTTCTATGAACTTGCCAAGGGAACAAAGCGGGCGAAACAATTACGCTTTCAATATTCCAATTCCACTAATCCAACGGGTCAAATCTTGATTTCAGGTGACTGAAGGCCGGCTTGTGGAGATCATGACTTAAAAAATGAGGTAAAACGATTTTATCTGAGTTCACTCAATTCATAGGCTAAGAAAAAAGCATTTTTTAAAGCAAAGTTAGATTTGTTATTTCCGAGATCTGTAATTACTTCTTCAGTTAGTATATTTGGGGGGCAATTTGTTTACTCTAAGCGACGTTCTGACAGCGGCAGCTAGCCTGCACCCTGCCAAAAGCGGAGTGGTTATCATTTTGGGTTTACCTAATGATATTGTTGGCACGTAGATTTTTCAATGGGCAAATTAGAAATATTCCTTGTATTAACCTTTCCTTTTTTCATTTATCTACAGCGTGTGGAAAGTGCCTGTGGTGAATTTTTGGCAGAAGTAGGAGCTGGTGTACCCGCCGCTGTCAAGTGAAATTGGTGTTATAAATAATACGTTGCAAATATATATCTTTGTTTCAATTATTTCACAAGTTAAATTCTGATTGAAAGTAAAGTTTTAGTTTTGAAAATGACAATCGTCCACTCATATTTGCGTTTATATGCTGTTACACGCCCCTCCATGTCAAATTCATCGACTGCACATTGACAGAATGAAGCTGTTCAAATTGAGACAAATACTGGGAGCGGCTAGCATGTCGTCATAAAAAATTAAAAGGCAATAGCACATCTAAATTTGTGCACAATAATTGTTCTTGTCTTTTTGTTCGAAAGGGAAGGTCTGTTGAAATGGTGGAACTACGTCTTTTAGGCCACGTCCACACGAAACCGGACATGTTTGAAACCGCATTACGGATTCGTGTGGACAGGCTCGTTAAAGCGGTTTACGGTCAAGTCGCCCGAGAGTCATCACGCCCGAAGTTATGTCGTCGCAAATGTTCAGTCTAGTCGCCCGAAAAGCTGCTTTATGTGGCTTCAAATTTTATTACACTTAACAACACAAGAACCTTTATTTAACAAAAATTAACTTTGTTTCTCTTTGCACCTCACCTAAAAAATTCAGGCGACATTACTCAGCATTTCGGGCGACTTAACTCTGGTTTCGGGCGAGATGACTTTCGGGCGACTGGACCGGTTACCGTTAAACCCCTCGATCTGGAGAGCAGTTTCAAGACAATGCGGGTTCGGTGTGCTGATTCACTGGTTTCGTGTGAACGGAAGGTCGATTCGTGTAAAATGGTATGCGGTTTCGTGTGGACGTAACCTTTAAAATTCAATTATTCCCGTCCTTGAAACGTTAAAATAAACTTCCGACGGACAGTTTTTCTTTTCACGGAAAACAAACAACTATTACGGTTTCCCTTGGCCTCGCAACACAAAATATAGCTAATTTAATAAAGGTTGCTTTGGGCATTGGTATTTGGGCACTGGAAATTTGTTGTTTTGTGGTCACTCAAGCAAATGACGGTATTGTTCTGTATGCCCAATTGCCAAAGCAACCTCGCAACCGCGTTCGATAGGAAAATTGCTGAGAATTTGGATATGTTTCTTCCGCCCAAGAGGCTTATAAACTCATCGCAGAGTTTGAAATGAGATCGACGACCAAGTCTGCTTCAAAGTGGACAAAGATTTTTGGAACATTGGTGTGTATCTAAGGTTCATCTATTACTGTGCTTTTGACAAACATGCGAATAAGCCAACTGACGATTGCGTTTTTCGCTGCCGTCAATCATCTTAACGGACCTCTTAGGAAACAAAACTTTACTTTAACGGGTTCAAAAGGTCAAGGTTTGTGATTTGTGATTGGTGGGTTTCGATCCGTTTTGTGTGTTTCTGTGTTTCAAGGTTCGTTGCTTGTGATCGTAATTATGATTGACGGCAGCGAAAAACGCAATTGTGAAGGCGGCTTTTGAACTTTAGAGTTAGCATGTTTGTCAAAAGCGCAGTAAAGCTTTACGTACATTCATAAATCTTAAAAATTTAGAATTTTGGAAGTCAATATATATAGACTGCTAGCAGAGGTTTGTTTCCTGCTTGGTTCTTAGCATTTGTGAAGCCGTCCGCGTAGCTGGCATTCGCGTGGTTCGTAAACAAGCCAACCTACGCGAATGCCAGCCGTCAGCCACGCGGGCGACTTCAGGTGGAATGCTAAAATCCATGCCGTAAAGAAACCTCTTCTTGCAGGGAGGGAATATAAAGGTCGCTGTAATTTACACCTAGCTACCCTGGTTCCAGAGCTTGTTCCTGATTTTTCTCCGAGTGAGAAACTGCACGAGCACTTACCAGCGAGCTTCGCGATTCGTTCTCGCCGCTTTTCTCGTTTCCAACATCTTACTAACATCTCAGTCATTATGCATGAAACTGTACCCCCCTGATATATTTTCTGCACCCCCACAACTGTGAAATGAACGCAGCCTTTCTCGAGCCTTTCTCTTTTAGCTTAGCTCCCAGTACAGAAGTGTAGTACACTCTGTTGGTATTGTAGCCTGCGTGGCAGGCTAATTCCCTTCCCCTTCCCTTTCGAACGCCTGCCACGCAGGCTACTGGTATAGTAGAATTCCGACTTCACTAACGCTAGAACCCTGGTGGTTCAGTGGTTAGAACGACCGATCTAGTATTCGGATGTTCGGTTGTTTGTGCATATCATCCGTACATTTTCCGAGAATCTTCGGTTACGACTTTTAGGTTATTCTGAATTCAATCTCAGTCCCTCTCGATCGATGTGGTTTTGGTGGGTAGAATATAATGCCGACCTTGGGCCCTGTGTGTTCCGTAGAAGTTGAGGGAAAATCAACCACTGCAGCGGGCTTTTTGGCCTTTAGATGCTCTGCTGACGGGAAGAAATCTCCAGTAGTCGTACCCTGCAATTTGGTTAACTGTTCGATCTCTGTCTCTCGGCTACCTCGAGTTTTAATTTTTCAATGCGAGATTTCTTCGCCAAGGCTTCTTCCTTAAGATTTAGGTGCTTGACTTGCTCGAGGCATCATTCTTTTCGTCGGGAGGAGGGTTTCCATCATCTGAAAGATGTGTATCGTCCGGGCCAGTGCAATAAGGACCGGGATCGCCAAAAGAGTGTTCTGCATGGAGCACTTTACACCCTGGACATTTTCGCGGTCGCTTGAGGGTGTGTTGATCGTCTGTTAAAGGCTCCGTTTCCTCTTCGCCAGGTTTGACAATTGATAAAAGCTCGTTTATACTCATAGTTGACAAAAAAAAAAAATTGGCTTCGCTAAAATGATTGCTAGTGCAATAAAAGTGAATGTTGCTACTGCGATGCCAAGAGAGAATGAGACTAAACTAGCACTGTATCCGTCTGTAACCCTTATTACAGTCGTGGTATTCCTGTCTACCGTAAAACTACTATGTCCTAGGTACTAGACACATGGTATTATGAAATCTCTCGTGCCAAAAAACTACTGTGATGCTGTACTAGTCCTGCATCCCAATGTGAAGCCTTCCTTTGAGATTTAGAACCGCATCAGTCGTCTCAACTGATGCACCCCATTAAACACTTATACAACGAGTGAACAAATTGGCTGGCTACCAATTATAATTATAAAGGATACAATAAACGTAAAAAACTGAATAAGAAATAAAGCAGATTTACTTACCAAAGAAATAAGAAATAAAACCGGCTGATAATTAAATCCAGACAAAAGTGTTTTGAGCCTTTGTTTGAACCAAGGTCTTTTCAATAACGGCGGGTTATATCCTGGTATATAACAGCGCCTGCTATTGGCCAATGATATTTATGACGTTTTTAGTCTCTCACCTCATGAGGTCGCAAATATCATGCTACAAACGTGAGTGTTTGATCGATATGGGTGGGTGGGGGAAGGAAGTATCCCCTGTTATATAGGTGTACGATACCTCCATTTTTGTTTTCAATAACGAAACGTTTGGGGTCTTGACGGCTAGATATTTAAGAACTCTGGTGGATGTGGTTTCAAGACCAGTTCTTAATAAATGGACTTACTCTATAGTTCGTAATAAGTTAAAACTTCGATCTCTCAGTAGTAGACAACCCCTCCGGGTCATAACTTCCGTGTATAGGCGACGTAAAGGCAGCTTATACGCCATAAGAATTCAGTCGATCCATTCAAAATGTCTTCAGTCGGCTACCAAGGTTTACTCTACAGAGTTAGCCAAAGGCTGAAGGACGTAACTAAGATTAATCAACTTCTTCATACTTCTAGCAATGCAAGATTAATCTCTGAAAACAGTGAATCGTTCAACATTCAAGTCAATGAAGGGGACAACACTGCGATTACCTTAAAGAAGCTCTTTTCAGATTTGGACGAAAGCGACAATTTGGGACTTGACAACCTGGGGACACTGAGAGATCTCTTAACGGAAGTGAAGGAGTGGTCCCTTGTCGACGAAGTTGATAAATTCAAGAGGCAAAGAAAGGATTTCAACGCTCTTTTAGAAAAGATTATTCCTAAACTCGAAGAGCTCGACAACCTGGAGCAACTGCTGTCTGTTTGCGAGGATTACATCTCAGACGATGCTAAGGAGGAGATCAAAGACGTTCGTGCGTTGCTTAAAGAACTACAGAAAAAGAACCGCCTGGGTTCTACGCGACTCTAGGTTCTGAGGAAGATTTCAAACGAGACAGGACAGCAGGAGCTGTTAGATTTGTTAACAGAATTTGAGAAGAAGTGGAAAGCGGAGGAGAAGGCAGAGAGAAGGAGAGGTATGATTCTTCTCACTATACAAACACTTCAACATTTTACTATTATTATTCTTCAAGCTATCATTTATTAACACATACATTGACAGAATGTGTTGCGTAGTGAATGTAGGTCATCTTTCTAACAGTCTTTATAATTAATTCTAGATTCTGATTTAGCCGGATTTGCGTAATAAATGCGGACTATGAGTAAACTGTACTTTAATATTTATGCCGCCTAGTTTATACGAGTCCGATGTGGCAAAATACGGAAATGAAGGGCAGCTATAGTAAACATATAATGTTGATGATAAAATTCAGTTATATTAGTTTTGAAGAATGTTACAGTGCTCAAAATATAGTGGGGCGAGTAAAGGAACCAGAACATGCCATGGATGCGTGACCCGACGCTAACTTATATGCTAATTACACACCAAGCTCACGCGAGCGTTAAAACATCAACGGACGTTTCATAGGATACCAGAATGTTGTTTAACTGGTTTAAATTTTCACGCACTAATTTTTTTTGTTTTTTCCAAATTTCTGAAACGAGGAAATCCTCGCCTTTCATTGGACTTAAGAGAAAACTCCCAAATCCGCAATGAAACGCTTCGTTGGAGCAGCCTACCAGTGTGACCACTGTGCAACCTCGTTCCCAGGGTTCTCTCCTACCCGTCCCTGCGGAGCGAGAGAGAGGGTAAGAGAGAGAACCTGGGAACGAGGTTAATTGCTGTGTACTTCTATACGGATACCATAGAGGCATATTCGTCAGAAATTTTGGACCTTTGGATTGGACTGCGAGTAGAAGTTTTTGTACCAAATTTGTGTGCCTCATTTTGAGATTTATCATGTTCTTACCTGGTTCACTTTCTTGTCCGTGACGTCATGATGTTTACTGAGTAATTTATGCATGACGATTACCCATGGCTGGACACCGAGCCTATCTTGTCTCCACTGCTATAATCCGGGAGATACAAAAAACTCGAAATTGTTTTGAAGTCGTTGCTCCGTATTTGTAGTTGAATCTGGCAGTCGTTCAAAGTTCAAGTATACTAAACAGGGGCACCCAACGAGAATATAGTTCAAGACCACTTGAACATAGTATTGTTAAACGTATTTTAGTATTTAAACGGTAGATATAGGCATATTTTTATCCCCTAAAAATTTTTCATCTGTTCGGATTTCCTAACTGAAAGTCTAGTGATCCGAAAATTATAGGGATCAAAACTTACCTTTTCGAAAATTTCAGCGATAAAAAAGGCTCCCGAAAATTCTAGGTGACCTTTTTAGGGTAAAAATCCGTTAAAAACGGGCAATTATACCATATTTTAGATGTTCGAAAATCCATTGAGAGGCAGGCAAGCAAGAAATTTCACAACAAATTTTCCGAAAATTCTAGATCTCAAATCGTCTTCCGAACAGATATTTCCCGAAAATTGAAGTTGGGTGCCCCTGACTAAATACACAAGAGAGAATGTGCAGGTCAAGTGGAGGAGAACAATTTCTGGCCGTTTTTTCCTAGGATTCTTAGTTCTCAGTCTTTCAAACAGAGATGAGCGAGCAACAGGCCTCGCTTAATTGTGCCGTTCCCACTAGGAGAATAGAGGATTCTGGAACCCCTTAGATTCTCCCCTGGATAAATCCTGGTCAGCTATATATGTCCGTATTACAGAATTAGGGATTATCTTTCGTATCAAAAAAAGCCTGTCTACAATAGAAAGGTGTCTGTAGTAACGAGAGGTACGAATATATTTAGATGGAAAATCTCTTTAAGCTCTCTCAAATCAAATTGCGTTGCCTCTTTACCTGGACGCTTTTATTTTTAGAGTCATTTAGAAAACATACTTTATGTATTCCTTATAATTGACTCCAAAAATGTGCTTTGGTTCCTGATTTGTAGATCGGGTAATTGATGTTGTGAACACGGTGATAGTAGGTAAGCGTTTCCAAACCATAGCCTGCGAGAAAGCTCACCATAGTGACTGGGCTCGCATGCACCACGGCGGAACTTTACCCGATTAGTAGCATGAAGTACCTAGGAGTATAATGCTATCCCCTGAGTGAGATGAGAGACCAACACTGGGTTACTCCCAGCAGTATAGGGTCTGCACCCTGATTATACATCTTAACCTATCCATTCAGTGGATAACGCAATTGATTTTTCTAATGCAGAATATTGCCATTTAACCTTTGAAGACCTACATATCCGAATTCCAAGTTATTAACTGCTCAGTCACCACACCTGTTTCCAGCCATAGTGGGGTCACATTTTTTGCTTCGGTCTCCATGAAGTGGATATTTTCCCGCCGATCACGACACGACTCCTAAAAGTGTTAGCACTTTCTTTCCATACGTTATTGCACCTTTCACGGCGTCTGAAGAGAATCCTGTAAGCCAGCAGCGTAGTTGTGAAAATGAATTGTGTCGTAACACAAAGAAAAAAGCGCTATTTAGACCCTGCTCGCTCATCACGTGTGTGAAGTTTGTCCATAGATGAATCTTTTTTTATGCTTCTTTGTCATGTTAGTTGACCTAAGTCGCTTCTTTCTCTTTTAAAACTTCAGCTCCTACTACAGCCGTGTACTCAACAGTTAAAAACACTTGGGAACAATTTATTGGAGGTAAGTAAATATTTAGGCCCCGTACGTCCACACGTATCCGGATATGTTTTTAAAATACGCGTCCTCACGTAGCGTATTCCAATCGTTTTCGCCGGTCCTCATGCAAACGCTAAAACGATGGAAATACGGCAGCATCGCTCACAGACAAAGCGAATGCCAGTGGTGTATATGATGTATGACATCATCGTATTCAACGATCTCCGTTCTCGTTCGTCCCAAACACGTAGACGAGAAGCCAGCGTTTTAAAAAATCTCCACTGTGGGTTGCGTTTTTTGAAAAGATGCATTCAGGTGACCGTTTTCACTAGGTGGAAAAATATCTTCAAACAAAACCGGATACGTATCGATGGGACCTGAATATATAAGATAGCTGTGTGCATGGTATGCTAAGTGGCTTGATTTGTTATTTGAGCGTCGCCCAAGTAGAGTAATTGAGATCGTTTGTTTTGATTCAAATTTGAAATAGGCTTGGTAACTCTGCCGAGTTGAGTCTTATCCCTGTATTACATGAGCCGGTTCAGCCCGGAGCCACTATTTTTATATGGAGATTGGAAGCAGCGTGCATGAGCAGTGTGTTACCCACTGTCCTGTTTCTCGCTTGGTTCATTCGCCGGGCTGCCCGGCAAGCATGATTTGTACTTGCAAAATTTTCTTAGTTTTATTGCCAGATTTTACGCCCTCCCTCTTGACCTCACCGATTTTTGAAAGCCCCGCGTCCAATATAACTCCACGCCTTCCACTTCACGCATCTTACAACCCCTAGAATATTTAAGCAATAGAAAACGTTTTCCGTGTTTGCATAGCCTGATATAAACACGAGAGGGGTGGGGAGAATTCGAGACAGTTATGCAAACCCGAGACGAAGTCTTTAAAATAACTTTCCCAAGAAAAAAAGCAAAAAGCTCTTGTTTAGAGCATTGATTAAAAGAGAAATTCTTACCAGTCGCGAAGTCTTGCACACGAAGCTTGTACGCGTAATCAGTCTTTGTTTTGCAAAAAAGATGCTTTCCAAAATACGGGTTTTTCTCGCTTAAAATGTCAGCTCAAGCGAAAAAAAATTGACACAGCATGTTTCTAAAGATTTTCCAAGTTTCAACCGACTAGGAAATGGGTAAATAAAGTAAACTTGTCGAGTTTTTAAACTCAAAACCTTTTTCAAATTCGTGCTTGCGTGATTAGCGTGCGGAAAGCCAAACAAGTTGACGTCACAACCATGTTTACATACTCTCATGCAAACACGCCTCTCGGCCAATCAGAGCGCGCGTACTATCTTAGTTATTTTATAAACAACGCTACTGCACTACTCATACATCCCTAATATACATAGAAAAACTTCTCATGCGTCGAGTACAACGACGCCCAAATATACGCTCCCACGCGTCTTGTTCTTTTTACAGTCAAACTCCGTTAATACGGAGACTGAGGGGACATAGAAAGTGTCCGTATTAACGGGGTGTCTGTATTTTTCCCCAGGAACAAAGTAAACCGTCCGTAATGACAAGGTGTCCGTATTAAGTAGGTGTCCTGTTAGGTGTTCGTAAAGTGGGGTTAGACTGTATTTATTTAGATATTTATAGTTCCCCCTTTTTATATATCAGTAAAAAAAATTGAAACGAACCACAGTAGCAAAGCGCAATTTCCCATTTATCTTTTAATAAATCTGTTACTTCCAACAGCTATAAAGATACACTGTAACTTTTCTACGGTAAGTCGAATGGCTTTGACAGTTGGTATGGGAATTATTCTCCAAAAAGGCGCCAAAGCTACACTCGGGGAATTCGTCGAGATTTTCACACAAGTATTGCTTCCAGCAGGGACCAGTCTTCGTACAATGGGTGAGGGTTCTCTGTGCTTTACAGTTCAAGCAGAAAATAACCAAGCTCTTGAGGCCTTATGGCAGCGATATCAAGATGGCACATTGCAGAGAAATCTGCAAGAGTTTCTGGTGACGGATGACATCAGACAGCTGGCCGGTGGAGAGGAAGTAATTCTGAGTGCGTACATTGATGAGCAAGATTACCATAACGCTTGGTTGAGTATTTCGATTGCTGAACAACAAGGTGAATAAATTATGATGCGCAATGTTACTTGTATAAAAACAACTACAAACTAAAGTGCATTTCATGTAACCTTTTGGTGGAGACGGGGCTCGAAGTAGGGGCGAGAGTTGGATGACGCTCGGACGTTGTGCCCATTTACAATGATCAATGATCACTAACCACTCGTCCACTCGTTTGTTTTTCAGAAAACTATTGAACAGATTTATTTTGCTGGCAATGGGTTGTTATGGCAGTTTCAAAATATAACGTCAGTTTTGAAAGAATGCAAAAACATATTTAATAGCCCACGTTCTTTATAATAAAATTCTAACATGACTAACAAGGCTTTAGGGCCAAAATTGGCTATTTTTCAGACTTCATTGTCTCGCTGCAATTCAAAGAAGAGATTTGAGCACAAAGAAAACCAAACCAAATATAGAAAAATTAACAGAAAGCCCCGGAGTCATGTTGGAATTTTAATATATCAAACGTGGGTTATTATAACACATTTTAAAATTTAAGAGTGAAAAGTTACACACTTTCATTATCGTAAAGCTTGCAAGTCAGCAGAATTTTTTCAATCCACTCTTAAGACGTACCTTTTTAGAAATTACTTTGAATTTTAAGAATCGTTAATTATTACGTTTTTTCAGGCTATTTTATGTTACTTAGTTTTCTTTATCATTCACTGTTGTAAAGCGCTGTTGGTTCAGTAGAGAAACAGCGCTATATAAGATTATTATTATTATTATTATATAAAGCTACAGTTACGCAACTATTTGTTTCCTAGTCTTACAAAAGGAAAATCAAGAAATTTCACCAAAGAGAGCCAGACGAAACTCTGATTCCTCTCTGCACGCAATAAGATCAAACGAAAAGTTAGTTGTTATAACACAAAGAGAACAGATCAAGCTTTATCAAGAAAGAATAAAAGCATTGGAAGAAGAAATCGAGAAAATGAGAGCACAGGGTAAGTGAAGTAAAACAATAGAATCTAAAAAAATTAAACTTAAAACACCCAGGAGAACAGAAACAGTATATCATAACGAATGTATGCCATTGACCGTTCAAGACAATCGTCTTGTCCATAAACAAAGTAATGCATGGAGTAAAATGGACTTAGCTGCTACAATGACCACACTGATATAGCTAGGTACGGAAGAGTATAAAATGTCAAAATATGCAAATCTGGGCTGGTAATTTGAATATAGGAGTGTGGTTTTTAGGCTTCGTTTGCTTCAACATATAAGCTTTTGCTTTCCGTCTAAAACATGACAAGGTCGAGGCATAAACAAACCCTGGATCGGACCCGATCGGATCAACCCCCTGTATTACACTAAATTACTGAAGGTTAGAAATAGTGTTTCAGGGGTTGATCTGATCCGGTCCGATGCAGGTTTCGTCAACGTTGACAAAATCGATCCATACAACAGAAAGTGTTGCGTCTCAATCTGAAAGCTACATATGACATGTTCCCCTTTTAACGCCCTAAATTAATCATGTATCTTCCTCTTTAATGTATAATACGTCTTTTGGGACGTGTTAATGAACAAAAAAAAAAAGGTAGCGCAAAATTGACTCTGGCGCCGAAAATGAGAGCTTGTATTGAGGATCGGAGAGAATCCGGTACGGAAGCTAAAGCTCTGCTGTGCGCTACAAGAAGCCCAGTAAAAAGGCATCGGCATACACTTAAGTCGATAAACGGCCATTACTTATTCGGCTCATTCGGTGTAGTTTTCCCAAACATTTGTTGTCACTTTTTGGCAATGATTCTTCGAATAACAACTTTGAATTTTAAATTGATCCAAGTCTTTTCTGTGCTTTATTGAATCTATTGACTTTATTATGTCAAGGGCAAACTTCTTGATTTGTTCTATTACGACTATAGTGGATAAATAAGCGTCATCATGGAGGCAAGAAATAAAGAGTGAAAAAGAGTCAGGACTGAAGAGATTCAGCCTTCCTCAGATTGGCAGATTGAAGAATTTAAAGATACGTGTGATCATAAGAATGAAAGTGACTTGCTAACGGAGAGTTTTTGTCACAAAGTTTTTCCAACAAAACTGTATAAAAGCAGCCTGAGAAAACAGCCGACATTTGGCGACGCTACCACTGGTTTCCCCGCCAAATGACGTCTGAAAAACAGCGCAGAAATTCCATACTGATAACGTGTCACTACCCAGATCTGGGTAGTGATTCTGAGAGTGTAGCTAAATGTCGTGGGTCGTGGGTCGTGGGTCGTGGGTCGTGGGTCGTGGGTCGTGGGTCGTGGGTCGTGGGTCGTGGGTCGTGGGTCGTGGGTGTGGGAGTGGGTGTGGGTGTGGGTCGTGGGTCGTGGGTCGTGGGTCGTGGGTCGTGGGTCGTGGGTCGTGGGTCGTGGGTCGTGGGTGTGGGTGTGGGTGTGGGTAATTGTCGTGGGTAAAAAGAAAGTCTTCCAAAAAAAAATAAAAATTAAAAAATTTGATAGCAAAAAGTTGTAAAATTCACAAAACGAGAATCTCCGCGTACATACCAGTCCTATTCTCCTTCCCCGCGGTCAGCAAAGCAAATAACCGAATCCTCTAGCACAAACGGACAATAAAAAGACATTTAGGTGAAAAATAAAAGAAACTCTGTGCACTATGCCGTAAACCTGAAGCAAGCTATACATGCAAAAACTGGAGACTGAACTGCTTTTTCGCAAAGATGTCAACATTCGTGACTGAAACGTCCTTTCAGTTTAAGGAGTGATATTTGGAATCGTTACAGCAAAGATTTTGTACACAAAATAAAACAAAAAGTAATCGAGAAAATTATACTCCGTCCGGCAATAAAGTTTACTTACAGTCTCACCTTAACTTGAAAGGTTGGGAATGAAGGTGGTTCCTTCGTAAAGTAAGAGACCTAAAACTTCTATCCAAAAATGTGAAATACCTAAAAATTGTCCTTTTTCCCTTCCCTTTCTTACGGTGATCGCATTCCATCGTCGGTTAAAAAATCTCCACTGATCATTGGAATTGTACATCGAATAAAGGTGAAATAGTGAGCAGCTATTTCCATTCAGCGAGTCAGAGCTGTCCCATACTTTCTGCAAATTGCAGGTATAATTTACGTCTGTTTCGTTTATTTCGCGGCGATATGGATAAATCTTCACCGGGAAAATGTCTTTTATACAGTGATGTTGTGAAAGGGGAGCCAAGTCCCACAGGAAGAGGACGAAGAAGAAGCTGTGATGAAAAAAGCAATCAAGGAGTTGGAGATTTTCGTTTCCCAAATATTTTACAACTTTTTTCTATTTATTTCTTTTTTCAATTACTTTACTTTATCACTTTTTTTCTATACTTTTTTTTTACCCACGACATTTACCCGCACCCACGACCCACGGCTTTTCGCTACACTCTGCATGAGGCCTTCACAGATTATTTTCACCTTTCCCGGTCAATGATCATCATTTAGCATTTAGCAGATTGTATAGGGTTAGGGTCTCTGTTTTTTTTTTCGTTTTACTTAATGGCCAAGTTTTTCGGGGCTGTTCGGAAAACTAAGACCTAAGACCGGCGGAAAATAAAGACCTGAAAAACTGAGAACTGTAAAATTAACACCCCTGAAAACTAAGATCCAGAAAACGAAGACCCTCTTAATTTTAGTTTTTTCATCATTCATAGTGGCACCAAAAATCCAATGTTAAATAAATACCAGGCGTAGTCAATCGATAAACCGATAATCGATAACAATCGTTTGTAATCGATATCAATCTTCGATGGATATCGTATCACTCGTTAGAAATCGACAAAGCAAAAAGTTTTGACTTCGATTAATATCGATTTCCAATAGAAGTCGATATCATAATGATTGATTTATCAATTTTTATCGATTGCTATCGATTACTATCGGAAATGTGAGCCTTCAACGTTAACACCGTGCTGTCTGTACGGTATATTTGAGACATTCAGTCGTGAAATTACGCAGTTCTTTTACTTGATATACATTGTATTGAATTCCAATCTGAGCGAGTTGCAAGGAAAGAAATGCAAAATGCAGAAGATGGCCCTGGATGGAGGGGACAAGTAAAAATCTATTGAAACCATAAACAAGAAACGATAAATGAAATGCGATGAAGACTATGCCTAGAGTAGATGCTAAAGTCAAAATTCAGAGGCACCCAACGACGGTTTCCTCCCAATCAGGCTGAAAACACTTTTTAGGCTGCTGCAGAGACTGTACTGATCCCTCGAAATGCAATCTTAGCGGCGCTATAAAATTTGTCTCTGTTCGGTCATCCTAGGAGAATCTGAGTCTTTTCGAAATTACAAGGGCTTCAGCATTATTTTCCCGAAAATTTTAGATGCAATTTAACGTGTCACGAAAGTGAGAATTTTACTGATTGCTCTCTCCGTCACATTTTTGAATCCGAAAATTTTAGGTTTCCTTTTTTCTACGAAAAATAGCCTAACCTGGGCAGCAAAATGTGAAAAATTAAACTTTAGAAAATCGTAGAGAATTTATTAGATAAGTTTCGAAAATTGTACATGAATGGAACGGTCATCTAGAACTTCCCACTGACTACTGGCAGCTCTCAGCAGTGCTTTTTTGTTATAAATAGGAAGCAGAAAAGATCAGAAAAAGCGGTGACTCGGGTACATCATTTCGGTAATCAGTAAATTCTTTCGTCACTCGATCACCCAGGTAGAACGCTAGGGGCATCTTGACCTTAAGTGAATATCTTTGGAGTGATCATTTTAATTAGGAAAGTATTTTTAAAGGGGACTGAAATCACTCTAAAAAAAACAAAAACTCATTTTATCTAGCGATTTATGTAGTTTTTGCCGTCTTATCGACGTTTAAGATTTTGAGTTGTACTAACAGTTAGCACAACTCAGGTGATCTTAAACGTCGATAAAACGGCTTCCAAATGGCCCTAGAGACGAAGAAACAGTAAAAAACAAAACAAAAACTCAAAGTAAGTCATAAAGCGACGACGATCGCCTTGCCATTCCCATCAAGTTTGACAACGTAAGCTGCGGAATGAAGGCATAGCGAGACTCACTTTCAGGATATAATGCAAAGCTGATGTTTTGAAAGGCACCTGAAAGGATCTTGCAAATAATGGCCCTGGTTAAAAGACGTTACAATTCAAGAGAAAAGATGACAGGCAACATGATGCCATGATAACATTGTAAAATAAAACGGAAAAAGTGAACATTTAAATCAAGATTGACAAAAAACGATTCATTAATAAATTTGAAATAAAAATATAAAAGTGTTTTTTGTAAACGCTAGCTTTTGCTAAACTGAGAGCTTAAATGGTATAAGTTATACTTCTTCTATCACTATATATATATTCACATTTTTTAAATAATTATCATATTTATTACGGTAATAATTCCAATTATTTATTTAGAAATGTCAGAGTCAGTAAACCCCAGTGAATCACCTGTCGTCGCTGGCAGCAGCAGCACCAGCAACAACAACACCAACAGAAAGCCACCAGAGATTGATTACACCAAGCTGCCAGCCGGAAAAGAGCTGAAGAGCGAGAATCTTCCTGCACCCAAAGACTGGCGGCCTTGGGACAGAGTTAAACTGCCAGTCGATATTTTGTTGCTGACAGTGGTGGATTGCGAATTTCTCGCCTGTGCTCATTATTTGAAACCGGAATTCTATACAAGTTGTCACGAGAAGCTTGGGCCTGTGTGTTTTGGGGAAATTGGTGAAGAGGGGCAAGATTCCTTGAAAATTGCCCTATATCAAAGTCCAGATAAGGGCCCTACTGAAGCTACCATTGTTGTGAAAAATACTGTTGAGGTCTTAAAACCCAAAGCTGCAATTTGGGTGGGATTTTGCGGCGGTTTAAAGGAAGACAAAGTCAAATCCGGAGACGTGGTAATTTCATCGAAGTTGAGGACGTATTCCGCTGAAAAAGTGACAGAAGAAAGAACAGTAGATCGGAATATTGCTGCCCCGTCGTTCAAAAATTTTTTGAACCTCCTGAAATTCGCAGATCATGGCTGGAATCCACCGTTGAAGGATGAGGCGGGGCTCAAGGTGAAAGTAGTCAAAAACGGCGTATTGTTGAGCGGTCCAAAGGTAGTTGATAATAAAAAACTACGTTCCGAACGTACCGAGCGATTCCCTGATGCGGATGCTATAGAAATGGAGGGCGAGGGTAAGAGTTTAGCAGCTGAGTCAGTCAAAAAAGAGCGGGTAGGACAGGAGTGCGAGGGGTGGGAAGGGCGGAGAGTCTCGTACATAAACCAATCGCTTGTTCTGGAAAACACACGAGCAGATAAAATAACCGGGGTATTTTTTCCTTTTACATTCCAGCTAACCCTGGACCATGCGTTGCCAAAGTTAAACAATTGTAGTTTTAGAGGATGAAGAAATTAACAATAAAGTCAAAATTAAGATTAGGGATTTCATTTTTTCTTTTCACGTTACTTCATCTCTCGTTTTTCATTTATATGTTTAATATATATATATTTTCTCCCCGACCCAACCTTACACGGTACCCAATTTCTCGACCCAAAAGCGAATGTTGTTGAATTAATTGTTATGTTATGAGAGGCGGTTTAATAGCCTAGTTTTCGTATGTCGGGAAAATTCCAGACGATCGGGGATTTTACTCAACCGTTCCAGATTTTGGCGACTAATGAAAATACGTTTGCTTGGCACCTGTAGTTGATTGCGTAATTGTCCTTGTTCTTTTCAGGTCTCTACGCAGCGGCACACGAACTGAAAATGGAATGGGTCGTTATTAAAGGCGTTTCTGACTTCGCATATGGTACGAAATCTAGCTTAGATCACTGGAGATCATTCGCGAGTTTTATGGCAGCTTCTGTAACTGCTCACATCCTCAACAATCCCAATGCGTTCAAGAACTGGCCTCATTATGGTGGTAAGTACAAACAATTAGCCCCGGGGGGCAATCAACAAATGTTTATAGAGGAACGCTCCGCCCCGAGGTCCAGCCCCTCACCCTTTTATATACCATTTTTGACGAAAAAGGTATCCCTTTCGTATACCTTCTATTGACAAATGGTGCCCCTTTCACATGCCTCACAAAATAGAACATACTTTTCGACTTTATAATGCCATAAAATTCACCTGTTAGCCCTTTTGGGCCCTTTCTTAGACTGAATTTCCTACCTTTTCATTTACTTAAACTAGTGAAATCCCTACCCTTTCATATACCTGAAGCCTGAAAAAGATACCCCTTTCGGGCGAAGCCCCCCCGTATAGGCCATCATATGGAGTACCCCTCCCACCCTCCCACCCCCGCTCCGAGACTGTGGTTCCAGTTGAGATCACAATTCTTTTCGCGTCAGAGAAGATACAATGAATGTAAACGGAAGATTTGAACGTAAAACTAGGTTTTAGACCGCAGGATGACTTTTAAGACAAACCCTCTTCGATTCCATCTCTAAATCTATATCAAGTGATTGAGTTCGACGTTTTGTTACTTGATTTACACTGTGAATCACGTAACAAAATGTCTCGGTAGCCCGTGGGGAGCTCATAACCGGTGTCCTGTTTCAACGTTGGAAGCTCGACAATAGCTTATGTCTGCGTTGCGGCCAATAAACCTTGCTAAACAAGCACTCCTGGGTGGAGCCCCAGTTGGGTTATCCTTTTTTCAAATGAAAACGTAAACAATACCTTCTGTTCAAACTATTTATTAAAAAAAAAGAGAAATTATTATCATTATTATCTTTATTTATTTCCAGGTTATTATTAGTTTAAAAGTTTGTTGCTTTTTTGGCAGGCGCATCATCAGCAAAGGATGCAAAAAGGAAGGAAACAGAGGCCGGTGATCAGTCTGCCAAGCGACTCAAGCTAAAATTAGAGACTTAACTTTGGACGACTGAGCTGTGATTCCTTGTGAACGCAGTAAGTTTTTGATACCTTTGATAGCTTCTGCAAGAAATTGAACATGAATATTTTAGCCCGAAGTGGAAGACAATGTATTAAAAATTGACAAGCAGCAGTTAATTGGGAGAGACAAGAGAAGTGAAGCAGAAGTCTGCAGAAATGTCTCCGCATTTCATCTTCTCGAGGTCTAGCCCAAAATCATATGACGTGTGTAGCGTGTACCTGGCGCTTCGTGAGGTCCGAGTGAAGGTCCCATGACATGATACGCCGTCCCACAGCCCGCACTCACCAAAGTCCCAGCAAAGACGGAACCACCGCGGAGGTCATTCTCGTGCCCTTGGCCAAGACCACTATGGCCAGTGCCGCGTGACGAGAATTTGCCAAGATGATAATACTTTACGCAGGCGTATTGAGAGACATTGGCAGCATTTTTGTTCACTTCGAGTTTACTGATAACGCTGGTTTACTTATTAATAAGTGGTATTTAATTTAGTAATATTATTATTTAATCAAATCATTTCTCCGTTTCTCTTTGCGGCTCAGTTACCCCGGCTAATTCTTCATACCCAGCTAGCGTTGACCAAATTTGGAAAACGTTTGCGATAAACAGTGAAATGACATGGATAGTACAGGATATCAACAGAAAGAGGGACGGCGTTCGTATGATCTGGAGAAATATGCAGATCTTGGCCCTCGGCTGAGGCGGATAACATCTTCCTGGATCTACATAATTTTTCAAATCATACTCAGCCACGGCAATAATTACTAATTATTAACATTTTTTTTCATATTCATCTACAGCATTTGCTTCTGTCAAGCCTTGTATACATCAAAGATATTTCCCAGAAAACTTGTCAACCAGGAAGCAGTTATTTCTTAGTTCATAATGATAACATGTATTTTAGTCGTTAGCACGATTAATAAAATAAGCCTTGATTAAAGAAAAAAGAAGTAAAACTACCGCGAACGAGCATAGTGGCTGAAGAACCTAACAAAGATAGACGGACTTGAACATCAATGTGCTCCGTAAAGTCTTCCTTTTTCTCTTATTAATCGAATGTCTTTCATTTAATCATTTTCCTCGTTTTCGTTTCTGTCTTTCATCCTTCTCTGCCACCTGTTCTATATAATGCCTGAACCAATTGCAAACTTAAAGAAAGAAAATAATCAACTTAATACCCAAGTTTTATGCATTATTTTAGTCTCTCTTCTTAATCGTTTTTTACTTAAAATGCTTGGTTTTATGTTATTTTTTTTATATTTGTCAGTATCGTAGTCTGCGTATTGTCCTCGTTGTTCTTTAGTCCACCTTCTTTGTTCTTCGGTAGGCTATTTGCAGAAGCGAAAATTATGTAATAGTCATTTATAGCTGAGTTTCAATAAAATTTGTTGTCAGTGATACGTTGTTTCGTTGTTGAAAGGCGAAAGCGAGGGGGAGGGTGAGAACAAAGAGTGAGGGAGGGGAGAGACGCTATTTCTCTCGAATCTCACGTGGGCCCGGACGTTTTGCGCCTGGCAAATCCCGGATTTTGAGAAAAATAACTGGTTGAGCAGTCTATCAATTGTATTACTGCTGACGTCATCGTCACTAGTTTTTGTCCTTTTTTTAATTGATTTGATTGTTTAAATAAATTCTTGAGGCCAACTCTTGAACTGATAAAAAGTGTGTTGAAATGCCCTGTTTTCTCTTTCCATTTTGCTGATAAAGCGCCTCCGAAAAAAGCAACAGCTCTAAAGGTATAGCCTCTGCCAAAGACGAAACTAACCTTCTGGTTACGTTTATATTAACTTGGATAAGATTACGTCTGAGACGCAGGCTACTACGTCGTTAATCTAGTACGAGTTTTAGCGGGAATGTCGTGGTGGCGGAAACAAGTTATCAAATGTTAGAATTTTATCATTTTGCCAACGTTTCTGGTAAAAAAAAACAGTCCAATGAAGCTTGTCGGGGGTGTCTATATATTTTTTGAGAATACGCGAGAAAACCTAAAGTCAAATCTCGTACTCGTAGTCGTTCTCGTCCTCGAATCTAAACGTCTCTGACGTCTTCCTTACCTTTAACCAACTCTGCAATTCAATTTTCTTTCCTCCAATACCACCACCACCACCAACGCATTTTTAATCATCTTCCCTCCAAACAACACCAAGACCGCATTGCCNCACGACCGCCTCCCCCCCCCCCCCCCTCCCCGTCGTTTTCCCGGTGTACAAGTTAACTCGCTCCCCCCTTACCGTCGCGCTCTACTATCTGAACGCCTGGAAAAGGCTACATTTCTATTGTCGTTTCTCCTCCACCACCACCACATTTTTTTTTCGTTTGTCCCAGGTTATCACTTATGAGCTTCACTTTCTTCTGAACACTTTTATATGACAGAAGCTTCAGCTGGTGCACCAAAACTGAATGACTGCAAGTGTTTTATTTCAACAAATGCTAGTACTTACAAATGAGAATAGAAGGCGCCACAGTTAGCTTAATTTTACTGCTCAGTAGTCAAATGCCAGAATGGTGAGGTTTTTTTCAAGATCGTACATTCGGATATTTTTGAATACGGAGTTTTCTTTTTCTCCGTTTTAGCCTTCCGTCCACACATAAACGGCGTTTTCGGGCACCAAAAACGCAGGTTTTCAAAAAATACTAGAATTACGCAGCTCAGCAATGGATGCTTTCGTATTTTCATAGTTTTAGCGTTCTCATCTGGACGACTGAAAACGAGCCAAAGCGCTATGAAAACGGGGGAATTGGATCTCCGGATAAGTGAGGACAGGGCATTAGCCTTAAAATCATTAATTTTTTTTTTTTTACGCTAACTGTTTGGAACGAGTAATATTTAGCTAACAACAGGAAAATATCGAGTTTTTTGATAATTTACACATCTACAGATAACATAAAGGTGATTTCACTGGACTGGCATTAAAATTTTGACTCTCGACTTCCGTCGTAAGTAGTCGATTTAAATCGTATTCTAGTGACGTCAATATATGGCGTGATGGTCATTAATATCTCTTACAATATTTCTCAGAATGAACCCTTAACCTCATTCTACCATGTAATAAGTCACTGTTAGCATAGTTGTTGACATATCTCGCACCGCACCAACTCCACATTGCGGAGACAATCGATGAAGGTACTGTATGCATGTGTATAGGTGTATCATAGATGAGGTAAATGGGGTCGCAGTCTGTGTAATATCGATATGAATATCAAGAACTGAATAGTGAAGTTTATCGGCCGTGATAACAGTTAACCGGCTCAAGGTGAGTGTTCAGTGTTTAATCACGTTCCTGTTTTGAATCAGTTTAACAAAAACTCAGAATCCTTGCGGCTGTAACTGCTATAAAAAGTATTCGATGGCGTCTCTTGATTTCGTCGTTTAGGGATCGAACATGGTAAAACAGTTTTCTTTCTGATGTCGTGTTTATTATATACTGGAAGACAAACCGTGGCCTTGGGTCAATGATTACGCTAACAACTGACGCTCTAGCATCAATAACGAAGACCTGAATAAATTCATTAAATCAACTGTAGTAAAGCAAATTAGACACCGCTGTATGATTCAAACCAACCCCTGTATCACCAATAATCTTTGCGGACAAAAAAGCTTACATTGCACTTTTATACGGTATAATAGGAACAGGAAGGCTATAATACATAACAACATTCATGGAGTTTTTTCGCTCACTACTCATTTCTACCAATCAGACTTATTTGACGTTCGATGCAAAATTTTTTAAAAACCATGGACGCAGCGTTTTTAAAGCATCCGTGAATTTACAAATATATGCGAATACGTGACATATATTCAGTGGAAAATGTTTACTTTAATTTACGCTTGTGTAAGCATAATCTTATGCAAAAGACAACTTTATTACAACAGTCTCCAACCTACATTACCATATGTTGTCAATGTTGCCTACGATCGATAACACACCTGGCCAGCAAAACCCTGGTTCTAAAGGTCCGTTATCGAAAATACCTAGCCGGGAAGGATGAAATAAACCGTTCTCACGGCTTAG